GTCGCTCGCCGGTGGCCTACCGTCGAGGACTCCTAGTTTTTTGACTCGTCCGAGGAAGGATAGTATTCATCCGCTTCCAATGGTGGTCCTTGGGGAGATCGTTTCCCTCGCTCTTCTGCTTCGTCTAGCAGATGTGGGTATTTCTCGTATACCTGTTCGCTTTTGATAGGCAAGTCCCCTTCAGACTGGCTTCGCCTGAGGGCGTGAACTTGCTCTGCGTCTCTGAAGTGTATCCTGGGCGAGGATCGGGGAAACAACTGATTCTGGTGTTTCTTTTTCCAGTGGAGCTTGCAATCATCTTCGCTGCAATACTCCCAGTAGACATACGCGTGCCAGGGATGATCAGTCTCTGTTGCGTCTGTCGTTGATAGTTCCCGCTGTCCTCTCACCCATGCACTATCTTCCCTCGGAGGCGTGGAGAACGTGTCTAGTTGCTCCATGGCTCTCCTTTCGATGCGTGGAGTGGGTCTCGCATTTTCCCGTCGGAGCATATCTCTGGCTTTCTCGTCGTACTTCTTCAGGGCTCTCCTGCGGTCCTGGTAGTAAAGTTTGACGCTTTTCATATACTTCAGTTTAGCCATATGCTCGACATCCTTCTCCAGTTCTTCCGCTTCTTGGGCTTCCAACTTAGCTACGTCTTGGGACGTGCCAAGCAGCCTGCGGGTATTCGTTAGTTGGTCGTAGTATCTCCAGAGGTCATCCTTGCAGTCGTCCACCTTGCACTTTAACGGAAGTCCCTGTAACAGGTTCCCGTAGAGGTCTTTAAGCATGGGGATTCTCCTCTGGCCATTGGGCTTGTCTCGTTCGGCCCTAATCTTCGCGTGGGCGTGTTTTGCCATGCGTCTTACTACGCTCTTGCACCGTGGACTCATTGGTTCCGTAGGTGCGAGCTCGTCGAAGGTTTCCTGTTCCGAGACGGTGAACGATTCCGCCTCCGACCCTTCATCTGAGCTCTCGTCTTCTGGGGTGCTTTCGCCGTTTATTCCCCAGTCCTGTTTGCTCACAAACGTTGCGTTCAACTGTCCTGTCCAGGTGGCGTTAAGTTGCTTGCCGACTTTGCGTCCGCCGTTCCCTTTCTTTGGCTGTCTGCAGTCTCGGGCCATGTGGCCTGGCTTGTCGCAGTTAAAACAGAGTCGTTCCTTGAATTGTCTGTCTTTCTTAGGGTCACGGGGTCGTCCAGGTTTGAACGTGGCATCGAGTTCCATTGGGTCCGACCAACGGTTGTCTCGCGGGTGTTGATCCCGTCGTCTGCCCTCGTTTCCCCGGTAGGGGTAACTTTTCTTGGGCTTGTCATAGGTCCGGCGTTCCTTCTGGAATTCGTATAGTCGATTGTCGATTCGGACCGTATGTTCGATTAGCGCTACCATGTCCGTTGGTTGTTGTTCCAAACGGGCAAGTTCCATACGTATATGGCTCTTCAGCCCACGTCGGTAGTGGCTGATGAGTGCGCTGGCGTCCCATCCTGTCTGATTGCCGTATCTCTGGAATTCTGTGGAGTATGTGAGGGCGCTGCCAGTCTGCTTAAGTGCAAACAGATGGTCTTCTGCGGTCTTAATCTCATCGATGTCTCTGAACATGCGTCGGATTTCCTTACAGAATCCATTCCAGCTGCCAAACATAGTCTGCGTAGTTGCCATGCTTCCATTGGTACTTTCATATTTGAAATAATCCTTGAGGAATGGTTCGATCCATCGCAGGGCTTCCCCCCTAAGGTAGGACGCAGTCCACAGGGCATAGCTCTCCTGGGTGGGAAACTTCTCGTCATTGAAGTGCTGGTACAGTTCGACCTGTAGCAAAAACACCTCAAGTTCCTTTCGGTTGCCGGAGTAAGTGTCGGGCAACTTGACGCGTAGAGTTTCCTTGAGTTCGTTGACGGTGGGTGCGTCGGGCATCTCCTCATTCTCAGGCTTAGACCTCTGAGACGAAGTTGGCGTGGTGGGGGTTTTCCCCTTCGAACTGACGACAGACATGTTGCTTTGTGTGTAAGCTGGTACCTCGTAGAAGTGGTGCTCAAAGTGTAACGCTGACTTCTAAACGATAGAAGACACAGAGGTTCTCTTGCGTAAAGGTTTACTTATCAGAGGAGGCAGGGGATCAGACACAAAGGCTTCAAGTAACACGTTACTAGTATATAACAAATACTGTATTGAGTTGAGCACGAAGCTCCTATCTAAGGAAATACTATCTACTTATATAGTGGCGTCGTGCCTAGTGGACTCTTGGGAACTCACTCGAGTCCTCAGAGTCCTGGACTCTTAGGACTCTTCTCATCATCCTGCGAGTCCATCACGTGCCTAGTGGACTCCTGGGAACTCACTCGAGTCCTCGGAGTCCTGGACTCTTAGGACTCTTCTCATCATCCTGCGAGTCCGTCACGTGATACTTTCGGAACTACTATTCCCCGCTGCCCCTCCAGGTACCAGGGCCGGTCTCATGCGACCTCCCTCCTTCCTGTCCTGTAGTTGGCCAGCCTTCTTGTTCCGTCGTAACACTTCATCGTCCTCATCTTCGGTTTCCCAGGCATGGTTGTTGTCGTCCCACACTGTGTACGCTCCTCCACCTTCTCCAATCCCAAGGTGTTGTTGAATGATAGAAGCATGGTTGCCGTCCTGAATGCTATTTCCTGGTTACTATAATGATTACTATAACGTAGGAGAAGGGAGCTTACCGTCGGAGTCGCACCTCGTCCTTCTTAGACTGAACCTTCTCTTGTTGTTCAACTGGGCTAAGGGCTTTGAAAGCTTGTGTCTCCCGGATTTTCTTGATAGCGTATGCAGTAGCCGCTGTATCAGCCCTCTTTGCATTGTCGACCTTGAGTTTTGTTCTGTCATGTTGTTGCGGCGGTTCTGTACACGCTTGGTGTTCTCGTTGGTCGACTTCTCAGTTGATTCTTTGCACTTTCCGACCATGGTGGGTGATGGGTGATTACTATAATGGTTACTATAAAGTAATTGGTGGTAGGAGGGAGTAAAGATTTACCTTGGTGGTGGAGGGTGGGTGGGTGGACAGAAGAAGGCAACTGTGGTCGTAGAAGCTCGGAAATCCAGAAGAAGGAATGTTGTAGCAGAAGTAGGAAGCTCGGAATGGTGGCAGAAGCTCAGAAATCCAGAAGTAGGAAGCTCAGAAATCCAGAAGAAGGAAGCTCGGGGTGGTAGCAGAAGTAGGAAGCTCGGAAATCCAGAAGAAGGAAGCTCGGGGTGGTAGCAGAAGTAGGAAGCTCAGGGTGGTGGCAGAAGCTTAGGATTCCTATTGTTGTTGTGTATTGTTATGGTAGAATTCACTTAATACGCCTATTACCATATAATGGGTGAAGCTCAAGATATTTCGCCAAGCGAGCCAGCAGTTCACCCAGAACACAACACCCACCCAAATTTGGGTTTTCCTCCCTCAACCTTTCTGTTATTATGTGACAAGCCACTCACGGGTGGACTGGTAAGTGAACCACTCCTCTTATATTATAGTAATACTTATAGTAACACATCGTCAGGGCAATATGGATGACGAGCCCTATGACGACTAGGGGTCCTAGGGGTCCTAAGTTCATGGGTCGCCGTCGCCTTCCAACTACACCAACGTGCTCTAGCCAGCGTCAACCACAACTTCAATCACCTCCTCCAACCCAGCCTAAGGCTTCCCGAGGCCCAATCCCAACTCTTGCACCAGGCCAAGTACTGAGCCAGAAAGAACCCAAGATATCCAGCATGGCTCGCCAGAAACAAATTCGCCAGAATACGGCCAGCAAAGCCCCAAGGAAGGCACCAGTGGGTGGGAAGACTGTGATGAAGGTGAAGAAGTGTCGTTCCAAGCCAGGCAGTAGGTTGATTACTATACTTATTACTATAAAGCTCTTACTGACATCAAATAGTTGTTGCACTTTGTCAAATCAAGCGATACCAGAAAACAACAGAGCTACTCATTCCCTGTGCACCATTCGTCCGCCTCATCAAAGAGATCATGGTTGACCTGAAATCGCCCTATCGAATCCAAGCGACTGCAGTTTCTGCACTACAAGAAGCAGCTGAGACCACTTTGGTCAAGGAGTTTGAGAGTAAGTGAACATCCATTTTATAGTAATCATTATAGTAATCATTACAGTGACGCAACTTGCTGCGATCCACGCAAAGCGTGTTACCATTCAGCAGAAGGACATGAAACTGGTGCAATCAATGAGGCTCCATATGACGGGGTTCCGGTTCCCAGGGCAGCTACTTTGAGTAAGGAAGGGAGGAACCAATACTGGGGGAAGTAGATACCAAATATATTCGTTTACTACACTAAATATATCTGTCTGTGAAGTTATCGTAGATTTGAATATACGCACGTGACAGATTGCACGTGTTGGTTTGCCAAGGAACCGTTGGGGGACCGCACCGGTCTGGTCGGTTTTTCCAATATTTCCAGACCAGACCGCGGTCCGGTCTGGAAATGTTCCGAACCGACGGTCCCCCGTGGCGCACACTATATGGCAGCAGTAATTGCTGCAAATGGTATGCACACAGAGTACTAGGCTTATAGTATAGTTTTATATAGGGGTTTAGGTATCTACTCTACTCATTATTCTACAGAATTGATTGCTCTCACACTCAAGTGTTCGTGACGCGTGAGAATCGCTACTTTGGCCAGAATTGCCAAACCAGCCTACGTAGCTTAACTCCGCTATTCGTTATGTTACGATGGAAGGGCGGACCGAAGCCTTCCATTGCTCTCACAGAGCGCATACATAAGGTCCAAGTGCTTCTCTCCGCTATCTTTTCTCAATTCCATACTTCCATTCTTCCTGCTCATCCAGTCCACCAATTCATTCACAATGGCCACCATAGACGTAGAAGACGTGCTCTCTCCCTCTTCTCTTCGGTAAGCCACCCCGCACCCCAAACAACAGCTCAATATCACACATTCTTAGGTATCGACTTCTGGCACACCCAAGCAATCCCCGAGCACGGCATCCCCTGCACCCGCGTCACACCAGCCCAACGGCGTCCGCAGTACCCGACTATTCAATGGCATCCCCGCCGCCTGCTTCCACTGCGTCACAGGGCGCGACATGGGACTCTGCACTACTCCGCGAAGCCGGTACAGCTATGGGAGAGGAGTCAAAGGCTAAGGGCGCTCACGTGATTACTGGTCCAACTATCAATATCCAGCGTTCGCTGCTTGGTGGGCGTGGGTTCGAGAGTTTGTCTGACGATCCGGTGCTTGCTGGTGTGGGGGCTGCGAGCTTGGTCAATGGAATACAGGATACCGGTGTTGTGGCGTGTATTAAGCACTTTGTTTGTAATGACCAGGAGCATGAGAGGAATGCTGTGGATGTGATTATTACCGACAGGGCAATGAGAGAGATCTACTTGCTTGCGTTCCAGATTGCGGTCAGGGAGAGCAAGCCTGGTTCGTTCATGACGGCCTATAACAAGGTCAATGGCACACACGTCAGCGAGAACCCGAAGATACTGAAGAATATCTTGAGGGGAGAGTGGGCTTGGGAAGGCATGACAATGTGCGATTGGTAGGGTTTTCATGCATGGCTGTTGGATCTCACTAACGATCGATGGCTAAGAGTCGGGCTTCTCCAGGGAGCTCTTGCGTCGAACAAAGTCACAGAGCATGCTATCACCCAGCGCGCCCGTGAGGTTCTCAACCTTGTCAACCGATGCGCTGCATCTGGGATCCCCGAAAACGCAGAGGAAGGAACACGCGATACGCCTGAGACTGCGGCTCTGTCGAACAAGATTTCCGCAAACTCCATTGTCCTGTTGAAGAACGAAGGGAACGTTTTGCCATTGAAGAAGAACAAATCTAGCTGATTAGACTCTCATCGTTGGCCCCAATGCTAAAATCGCAACCTACTGCGGTGGTGGTTCCGCCTCCCTCCCCCCATACTACGCTCACTCCCTACGACGGCATCACCGCACTCCTCGAAGAAGGCACCGAGGTCAAATACATGTCGGCTGCTACTCCCACCGCGAGCGCCCCCTCCTCGGCGCCCAGCTCACCTCGGAAGAAGGAAAGCCAGGCGTGACCTTCCGCGCGTACAACGAGCCCTCCTCCGTCGCGGACCGCAAGCCAATCGACGAGCTGACCATCCTACGCTCCAACGAGTTCTTCATCGATTACGACAAGCCCAAGCAGGCGCTTTGGTATGGTGTATTTAGCGGTACCTACGAGGCCGAGAAGGACGGCGACTTCGAGTTCGGTCTCGCCGTGTATGGAGCCGGGAACCTGTACGTCAACAATGAGCTTGTTGGTGACGAGACCACGCAGACGCAAGGCCAGGCATTCTGCCCAACCCTAAACCCTAACCCTATGCCACGAGCTTCTGGTATGAGGCGAGGGAGGCGTGTATTGGCGGGAAGGGGGCTTATAAGGTGTTTGCTAGTGATAGCAGTCAGTTGGTTGAGGGGCGGTATTTGGAGGGCGGCTTTGAAGTGGCGAAGATGGTGGAATGGGATTTAAGTGTGGTTTGGGTGCGTGTATGCGTTCATGACTGTTTTATGACGGGTAAGGTGGCTAGTATCACAGAGTAGCTGGCGACAATAGAAATGACAATGATAGAAAGCGCGGATTATGATGATATATATATTTGCGCCAGTGACCTCCCTTCCTACCCCCATCGCCCTAGAGCAGGAGAAATCTAACCTAGGCCATCGGCCATGTCCGTTTTTCGTCGTCTCATCTCATCATCTCATCTACTATATCCATCTCTTAGTTTGCACTTCCCCCCGCCATCTATGACGCCCCCATTCCCCTCCCTATATTCGGCCGTAATAAAAGTTGTCATTAAAAATTTTGATGTTGCAAAAAAAAGAAGCCACAACGCAAATGCGCGCGCACGACCAGAAGTCGCGATGATGAAGAAAGATGAAGATGGAAGAATAAAGAACCTAAGAAGCAAGAATGATGCTGGGGTGCAAGGCCAACTACAACACGAAACAACCAGCTTGCTACAACACGCCACGCACCGACGCACACGCCCGTCTTTACTGCTGACCAGCAAAACACCAAACACCCCTATCCGCACAAATGCAGCTCAACTTCAAGCAGTTACCTCTCCCTCTACCACTGCCGTATCCGTAGGTGGACCACCAGGGGGAGCATCCACCCCCATCGCAACCCTCATCCTCTCACTCTCCAGGCACGCTAAGCATACTCCACCCCCATATACCCTCGTATGCCTTCGCCATCCCTCCCCAGTCACGATTTCACCTACAACCTCGACCCCAGCGGCGGTCATGCTGTAGGCACGCCTCTTTGGCTCTGTTGCTGGTGTGGCAGGAGCCACGGCGGCGGAAGTAGTAGGAGGGGTGCTGGGATTCGAAGTAGCTTGGGGGTAGATGCCGGCAGCGGCAGCGGAGGCAGCCATATCGGCAATAGAGAACTCGGGGATGGAGGACTGGTCTTCTTGCCATGTATATGCAGGTCCATCGATGACGGCAGGGGCAGAGGTAGGTGGTGGAGGCGGAGGGGGTGTGACGTGCCTTTTCCCCTTGGAGGGGTCCTGGCTCTTGCTAGGCCAGTCTAAAGAGATCGGCATTTCCGTGTTGTGAAACGGAGGGTTCATATCTCGATCCAGGTATGCTTCTTTCGCCAGCTGTTCTGCTCTTAATCGGTGCGCCTCAGCGTCGACGGGGTCATCCCGATACCCCTCCTCCCTCGAGCCAATCCAGCCAGCCTTGTCGTCGCAATCGCACTTGTCGTCGTTGGACGCTAGGTCATCTGCTTGCGCCCTCCTTCGCATCCTGATCCTCGCTGCGCGATAGAGCAGGTAACAGCCTCCAAGCACGATCCACGTCGGGGGCCCGGCACTGATGTACGCCGCAAGGCCCGCGGGCGCGTCGTCCTTGGAGGAGGCTGGGGCGTGGGGGCCACGCTCGGAGGGGGGGAGGGCGGGCATGGTGCGTGCGTCGGTGTGGATAGGGCCGGGGTGGGTGGTGGGTGAGGGCGGTGTCTGGCTGACGGATGGGGGGCGGGTGAGGAGAGGAGGGGGGGATATATACCTCACTCGGAGGCGCCGAGGGGCTCCGCCACGGCTGTAGCTATTGTCGCCGCCGCCATGGAATGGGCATAGGATTGGGACAATCCAGTCCTGTCATGTCCAGCGCGCATTGTTCTCCTCTCTCCCCTCCACTCCCCCCTCCCCTTCCCTTGTCCGTTTGTCCCCACCACCGACAATGCAAGGTCGCCCAGCGCATGCATGTAAGATCCCGGTCGAGCGCGCGCGCGTCCCACTCCAGCCCTACGCCGCTACGCATTAATCACGGGCCCCAGGTAGGTGAGCGAGGAGCGCGCGGGCGCAGCGCTGGGGGGGGATGAGAGTCGGGGCTGGCTGGGTGGTGGTGGGAGGAGAGGGCTTGGCGTTTGCTCACAAGTTATGTCCGCTCGGGGCATGGGCAGCTGAATTGGGCGGGGCGGGGTAGGGGGTAGGGGGGGTTAGGGGGGGTAGGGGGTGGTGGCGGTCGGTTGGGGGGGTGAAGGGGGGTGGTTGGTAGTTGGGAGCTTGGATCAAGCGCTGTACATATGTATTGAAGTTATCTATGGAGCATGTACGAACGTCGACTCGCCGCCACCGCCGATCGATCTATCGAGAGCCGCCTGTTCTAGGAGGGTCCAGTGATGTTGAGGAGCCTCTTCGCCGTTTGCTCCCCTTTTCTCTGTTCTGTTTCCACTCATAGACTCATACAAAGCACACTCATAGGGCATGATCGACGACGAGGTACTACTGGGCGCCGTCTTACACGAACAGTCGTATAGCAGAACCAGGACCATAACTCGCTCTTTCTCTTCCAGACTCTCTGTATGGCCTCATCTCCTACCATATTATATCCATATTTCTCCCTCCGATCTGCCGTGCACAACCCCCCTACCCCCCATCCCTCCATCCTCCCCGCCGCCACATCTGTCATCTTTCAGCTGATGTGAGCCGCAAACGCCGCGCCCTACACGCCCTACCAACCCCCCCACTAACCCCCTCCGGTATAGTCCTGTTAATCACTGTCCATCCTCAGCTGGCGCTGTCTCGCCCGCACCGGAGAACATCCAAACAGCGATAAACAACTGCACATATACCCGGCGATTGTCGCAGACGCTCCGTACACTCCGCGGTAAGTCATAGGTCGGGGAGCACCAGACCGCCGAACTACTAATATCGCACTCGTCGCCCCTATCTTTTGCCTGATTATCGTCCCTGTGGGCGGCCAACGCACGACCCGACTGTCTGTGCATAACAGCGAGGCGAGTCTAGACCACGCCGGCCAAGTTTAGTCCCGGCGGTCTCAGCTGGAGGAGACCCCGATCACCGCACATCCCCGGCCGGCGAACATTTCTTGGATTACCTCTCTCTGTCTAGCACGGCGTGGGTGGTCTGGCTATCGATTTTGGATTTTCGTGTTTGAGACACTGGCCAGAGCCTCGGCCCGGAGATGGATCATATCCCGTGATGAGAGGAATAGGCTTCGTGCGGAGCCTGTGACCATCTTCAGCGCCAGAACAGCGAAAGCGACCCTACGGAAGTGAATAAGATGGGATACGCCGTCAACTGGGCTGCATGATTTGGACGAGGCCATGCCGCTGTCAACTGGTAACGGGTTTTGCTATAGCAAGGTGGAGACTGTGTCCCTCGTATTCAAAACCAATCACCAACGGATAGGAATGACGCTTGGTGCTGAGGTTGGATTAGGTTTCGGCTACATCACATCAGCAAATGCCTTCATCAAGAATATAGAGGAGAGGACAGGAGGAGCGATCACTCTGATATAATCGTAATTACAATGGATAACGGTAGGATTACTGAACCTCATCTACACGTAACCCCCAGTAGCCAGCGGCGAGAAGCCCTGCCGGTGGTGGGGATGCTCCGGCGACAGCGGGTTCGCGACAGCATTAGTGGAGCGGTGACGAGAACAGCGAGCGGGGTTTGAAATGTGAGTCCTAATGTTGAGTAGTTACGTCGTAGTTTCAATGTTTTGACCTGCAGTACCAATGTCATGATCGAGAACTGGGCTCTTTGAGATGCCGATTTACCCATCCCTATGGCCTTCGAATAACGCCTTTTATTGTAGTGGGTGACAAGGTAGCATTTCACAAAATCTCGTAGCCAAGGAGTTATATCGTTTCAAGCGTAATATATATTCCATCTACTCTATCGTACAGTCAAAAACAAATCATCACCCATCTTCTTCGGCGTCAGCTCCCACGGACTCGGGCTCATAGGCACCTGTCCCCGCTCGCCCTGCAAATTCATAAACGAACGTTGATTCCCATTCTGCTGTGTCCTCCACCCAGCATCACTCCCACCATTCCCACCACTCTCCGGCACAACCCTCCACCCATTCTTCCCACTCCCCGCTACCCTCCCACCAACCCCCTCAAGCACCAACGCATCCGCCTGCTCCTTCACCCGCCGCTTCTCCAACAACGAAGACGACGAACTCTCCGCCGACATCTCACTCCCCGCACTCGTCCGCGGATTCTGCAGCCGCTGGAAATTCGGCTGCTTCGGCGGCGGGTAGGCGAAGGTGGGTGAGAGCTGGGGATCTTGGGGTAGGAGACGGGCGACTCGACGACGGGGGAGAGGTCGGCGCTGCGTCTGTCGTTGACGTGGGATTTTCGTCGTAGGGGGGCAGGCACCAGTGTGGTTTCTGGCGCGTATGCTTGGTTGTTGTAATCTGTGGGTAGTTCGGCGGCTTCCTGCTGGGAGGTTTATCAATACGGCGTATATGCGTCGTATGGCGACTGTCGGCTGTGTTGGTAATTCGCTGCACTTTCTCGTGGCGAACTTCGCCCTGAATATGCACTAGAAGTTGCCGTGCCTGGTTGCAGACGCTTTGAAAAGCTAAGACCTGGCTTTCGGATCTCCTGTGGCCTTAGCCCATTTCCGGAAGAACCTGCCCTTTGCAGTGTTGCAGCAGTGGTGATTGGTAGCGACGATTTTATATCGCCATTCCGGAGGCCGTAATATATAGTATTATCTTCTTCATAGCTGAAACGAGTGTATGGAGTGCTGTCTTCTTCAAACTGGGTCATCGCGCTATCTCGGCTCGGTAGTCCTTGGTCGTAGTAATCATTTTGTTTTCGTGGCATAGGTTGTGGTATGTCTTTCGCAACGGATTCAGGTGGAACATACAGTCGTAACTTAGGCTTTTCGGGTAGCCCGTTTGTAGGCAATATATATTGCTTTACCTCTGGTGAAACTGCCATCCCAATCTGGTCTGTTGGGAGGGTTATTCCAGGATCCCCATAATCCAGTGGGAACCTTGGAGGCGGCGTTTTCTTCAATCCCGGAGGCCCGGCGGGCCCATTTCCTAGCCCATTTTGATAATATTTTTCGCCTTTTGAAGGGTCGTTTTGGAAAGGCAGACTATTAGTATCGCTGTCTCGTTCTCGACTCCTTCGTCGTCTCCGCCTCAAACAAGCTGCGACCACAATGGCTACAATGGCCAGCACAGCGGCACCAACGCTTGCTACAACAATACCAGCCAGCTGTGGCGAGCTTAACTGAGTTCCTGCCACTCGAGAAGCCGAGGAGTCTTGGGCGGAAGCCGGTGCAGTAGGGCTGGCTACGGCGCTTTCTGAAGTCGAGGGATAATCGCTCGTCGTTTGAGATGTCATGCTTGAAACAAGTGTGGTAGAATCCGCAGTCGTACTGGTAGTGCTCGAATCTGCGGTGGCACTAGAAGTGCTTGCTGGCTTAGAGGAGCTACTGCTCGTGGTGGCAGCGGTCGTTGAGGCTACAGTATCGACAATGATAGTCGCCCGAAGTACCGCGTGCGTGTTTGGTAATGCATTGGCCTTCCCACCACACATGTTATAAGCCTTTTTCGAGGCCGAGCTACTGCTGGTATCTCCTACACAGAACCCCACATTCTCTTCGGCTATAAGGCACTGTAGTGCCCCCTCCCCCGCTGTATATCCTGTCGAGCTCTTATGTGTGCAGAAGCAATCTAAAGTTGGGGATGTCGTGCATGCGGACACTGGAAAGTTCGCGGAAAGAAACGAAGCAAAACATGACCGCGCGCATAATGGGATAAATTCCGTGATGTCGGTTCCTAAATTGTATATGGGTAAAGAGGAAGTCTGGGCTGTGACAAATGCCGTAGTCGCAAGGAAATATATTAAGGCGAGGAAGCTCGCTGTAGAGACGCCCATTTTAAGGGTACTGCTGCATGTCAGGTAACTTCATTCACGCGGCCACGTTACCCCATAGTAAGAGAACTTTCGGCATGGAATATACTGGCCTTAATGAAGGAAAGAAAATACGGGAGATGAGCCGACCACCGTCCCATCTTCAAAATAGAAATGAAGAAAGGAAGTAAGACGACGCCAAAGGAAACCACAGCACGGAGAAATCAAGAATGTAGAGTATAGAGTCCGAAACAAAATCGAAGATAAGGGGCAAAGGAAGACAATAAGAAGATGGAATAAAACAAAATTAGACCAAGCATATCGGCTGCCTGTTACCTGTTGGGACATGACCGATAGACTCATCCTACCCAAACCACTCCTCGACCTACGTCTGGCCATGTGGCGGTGCCCTGATCCACAACCTATGCATCCTGTCGCCAAAGGTAAGTCCCTGACAGGCCGCCGGATTGTTGGTAGGCGCTGTCATGGCACTCGGTCAGTCTGATATTTATTCTTGGAGACCGGTGCGACATTGTGAGTGGTTGATGTTGGATGCGCGGTTAAGCCCGGCGCCAAAGTGTTGTCGTTGATTGGCTTGAGGTCAGCCTTGTTGCGAGGCTGAAGGTGTCACGAGCAACATCACGTCTGGACTGTAATCACGTGTGCATCAGTGCCAAGGCGGAGGGTCTTCCTTCCGAACTCCAGGCGGAATCGTATATACAGTAATCACTGCCTATAACGGCGGATGGGTCGGTTCGAGGTTTGCCTTCTAAACTACAGTTCTCACGCGATAAGTCGATATAATAATTCCTCTAGATAATATCGAGATATACTGAATATCGAGTAATCAAACCATTACATAAGCCAAACGTCCAATGTGCCCTGAATGCCCTCATTTGCCCTTTTGACTAGGGTGCGTCATGGGGGACCTGGACCACCGGTTCCCCTGGACCAGACCGGACCATGGTCTGGTCTGGTCCCAAATTCTCAGACCGCGGTCTGGTCTGGTCTGAAGCCTCCAAACCTACAGTCCCTGTTGTAATATACAGGGGCTACAGTAAGCGACCACACGTAGAACCACGAAAAAACTCTGCCGGCTTGGAGCCTCTTAGTTAGTCAGAATTGAATATATCGAATTTACTCAACAGTTATGAACCCGGAGCAACTCTAAGTCACTAAATTGATCAATATATACAATCACAGAGCCTACATACACCCTAGACACCATCATACGGAGGTGTTTTTCATAAGTTTTGTGAGTGGGTCGGGCTAGGGCCCCCTGCATCAGAATATAAAGTTACAGGCTAAGTGGTCAAGATGAGATGATGGCGACATATACCCGTCTCGAGAGAAATCACTGCATTACGGCAGTGTTGCCCGAGTACTACTCAGAGTACTACTCAGAGATCTTCGAGTAGAGTACTGTTTTTTGGGCTCGAGTGTCATACTGACATTCGTTGTGTCATACTGACATTCGTTGCACTCAGTTTGCTATCAAACTCAATAGCAAACTTGGAAATCTCCTCCTCAAACCTACAAGTCACTATACATATTTTGGCTTATCACACCAACAACAAGAGCAATACTACTCAACGATTGCTACAACCCTCTATGATTCATTACACGTCATTAGTTACTGGGCCGATATGACCACATAGCATATCTCTACAACCCTCTATGATTCATTACATGACATCACTCCTTAGTTACTGGGCTAATACTACACATGACATATCTCTATCAACTAGAGGCCTAGGAACATGAACGATAGCTCCAAAAGCTTCTACAACCATCTATGATTCATTACACATCATCACTCCTTAGTTACCCACAAGATTGGTTAAGTTATGACATAATTTGTCTATAGGGGTACTCTGACCTTGGACCTCCTTTCACTTCCTATAGGCTAGGAACCTAGGAGATGGTTCTATGGGATTCTCTTACGTCGACTACAGTTACCAAGCCTGGTTAGTCATGGAAAGTCTTGGAAAATGAGAGAACTACACTCCTTTAGCATAAATAGGATTGCCCTTTCCTTAAGAAAGGGCAAGCAGACAATACAGTAAATCGACTATCACATACTTTCACGTCTTTTCCAAGCTTCCAAGCATTGATCTTGTTACTCCTTGTTTCTGAAAAGTCAGTGAGGTGCTAACCTCTGACTTATCCTTAAGTTCTCAAACTCAACATTTGTTACAACTTGTCTAAACCACTCCACTATATCATACACCTGATTGCTGCGTTGTGAAATAGTCTAAGCTACGACCCTTTGGCTATTTTTCTAAGACAGTGTGTTGTCTTAGTAAAATCATCCCTTCCTTGGGTGGCTAGATTCTCACATCTTGTAAGGAAGGCCATCACGTGCCACCACGTGAGGTCCCTTTCATAAGCGGCCCATAGGGCTCGGTAAAATAGGGCACAAGGTGCATAGATAAAAGGGGTTGGAGGCCTCAGAAGAAGGCCTCCAGTCAATATTCGATGTATCTACATAGACCTATTGTGCTTACAGAATATGATACCTTCCTGCCTCCTGACCTCGTTCCCTGGACTCCCGTGAGACCCTTAGGCTTCGATGAAGATGCTGGCCTTGCTGCTGATTCTGAGGCTACTGTCCAGGCCATCAACGTCCTTCACCGCATATACAGCAGCCGGCCAAGGATAAGGGAATCGCTGGACCTCCTAAGGAGAAGGAAATCGCTGGGCTTTCTGAGGTCGTTGCGTGTAATGCTGACGATACCCGCCAGGCTCTCCTACATCACGCCGAGAGCCTTGTGGAGCTGGGCAAGGCGAAGACTGAAGGTCTCAAGGCCGCCACTCAGGTCTTCCACGCTTCTGTCTGGGCTTGAGGAGTACGTCAACAATGAAGTTCCTCGTAGGTACGTTGCCTCCTTTTCCTTTGGATACTTGCTGACCCCATGGGTAGGTGGAGCCCCGCACCGAGTGATGCCAGTCATGCCCTCGCCCATCGATCTGGAGTGTGCTCTGTTGGAGCGCCGATTTGTGAAGCCTAGCAAGTGGAAGTTCAACACTCCACTGCCAGCACCCCCAGGGCCTCCTTCAGTCCTGTCCTTGTCGTCTGGGGACGAGGGTGCGATCCCTGTTTCTTTGTCATCCTCGTCTGAGTCCGAGTCCTCATTGTCGTCCTCATCTGACCAGGGTTCTGATTGATCGTTCCCATAGTTTGTAGGGCCAATACCATTACGTTGTCCCATCCTTGCTTCCTTGTGCATGCTTCCTGTGATATGCCTCAATTAATGATAGCCCTACGTCATGTTTTGGCACCCATTGGTCGTCTGCGGCTGTATAACCAGCCCATCTAATAAGGTATTCCTCTCTCTGGCCCCTGCCTCGTTTGATTATCCTGTGGTCTAGGACCGCTTCTACTTGGTATTCTTCCTCACCGTCCACAATTTCTGGGCTAGGTGGAGGGTTGGGTTCCTCTGTGTTTTTCCAATAAGTTTCTAGTAAGGACATGTGGAACATGTTGTGGATTGCCTTATACCTTGGCAGTAGGTTCAACTGGTAAGCCTGCTTACCGATGCGCTGGGTGATGTCATACGGGCCAAGCCAGCGGTGCCCAAGCTTCCTACTTGGCTGGGTGGTTCTGATATTCTTGGCCGAAAGCCATACTTTCTCTCCTACCACGTACTGCATTGGCTTGTGCAGCTTGTTGTAGCCTCGTATTTGGGCTTCCTTCGTCTGTGTCCACGCCTCTTCGAGCTCCTGTCGCAATTCTAGGATCAGGTTGATGCGATCTTTCGCGACTGGCACTTCCCTTCTGGTGGGGTCGTCCTCGATCCCTTGTCTTAGGTCTATATTGATGCCGTATCGGGCCTGGTTTGGCGACATCTGGATGGAATCGTGGAAGGCATTATTGTAGGTCAATTCCGCGAAGTGGAGGAGTTCCACCCAGTTGTCTTGGTGCTGATTACAGTGGATCCGCAAGTAGGCTTCAATATTCTGATTCTGCCTCTCGGTCTGGCTGTCAGATTGAGGGTGGAAAGCGGTCGATAGGTTACGCCTTACTTTGAGGTGAAAACAGAATGCTGACCAGAAGTGACAGGTGAACACACTCCCTCAATCCGTGATTATTTCGGCTGGGATTCCAAAGTCCTTTACCCAGAACGCAAGGAAAAGTCGCGACAGCTCTGGGGCCGTGATGGTTTTCCTACAGGGTATATATTTGGACACCTTAGTATAACGATCAACAATCACAAGGATGGAGTCTGAAGCCTTGCCTTGATCCGCCCCTACGCTTGGGGGCAGATCCGTGATAAAGTCCATACTTATGGATTCAAATGGTTTCGAGGGCATTCTTAAGGCCTGCATTTCGCCATATGGCCTATGCCGCACGGGCTTGATGCGCTGGCATCTATCGCAGCCCCGTACGTACTCCCTGGTTTCCTCACTGAGGCCAGGCCAGTAGTATTTGTGTTGGATCAACTCTTGGGTTTTCTTATATCCAAAATGCCTGGCCAGTGGGTCGTCATGGCAAATCTTGAAGATTTCCATCTGCACTGCCTGATTGGGAGGTATGTATACTGCTCCCTTGAAGCGTAGGATGCCTGCATCGTCTACTCTCCAATCTGAAGAGCCCTTTGCTCGCGCCAACCCAATATCCTTGGCCCTTTTAACAGCTAACTTGTCAGTCACCTGGAGGGTTTTGATCAAGTCTATTAGGGGTTCAGACGCAGCACTATAGGCGCTCTCTCCCTTGGCTACAGCAGCTACTGCAACCTTAGGGACAATGAGACCTGGACTCTTGATGTCCTTACTATGGTCATCGCCCAGTCTTATGCTGCTAGCGTTTGCCTTCCTACGCTGTAGGTTAGGTTCTCCCATCTGAAAGCCTTCTTGGCTTGTTATAGTCCGACTTATCTGCGGGATACCTCCTGCCTGCATGGCTTCTCGGAGCTTGTTCTTAAGGGTCGGTAGCATCACATTCTGGCTACCCTTTTCACCCTCATAGTCTGGTCTCCTAGATGGACCGTCTGCTAGGTTTGTTTTTCCCGCTCGATAGGAGATGTGGAAATCATAGGCTGATAACGCCTGCGCCCACTGCGCTTGCCTCCTTGTGAGGGCAGTGGTTTCCATAAAATACTTCAGATTGTTGTGATCTGTTAGGACCTCAATTGGGTACTGGCTTCCTTCGAGGTAGTGTCTCCACTGCTCGAAGGACTTCACGATCGCCAGGAGTTCCTGGCCGTGGACTTCATAGTTCAGCTCTGCTGGATCTAGCTTTTTGCTGAAAAAGGCAACTGGGTGCCATTCGCCCTTCTCTTCTGGCTTAGTTCCTTCCACTAATTGGGACAGGTTTGTAGCGAGCGCAAAGCCTGACGAGTCCGTCTCAAGCCTGAGTCTACAGCATGGGTCGAAATGGACTAGTGTGGGGGCTGTAGTGAAGGCCTTCTTCAACTGGCCGAAGGCGCTTTGCTGTTCCTCCCCCCACACGAACAGGCCTGTCTGCTTGCCTGCCTTTGCCCCTTTCATAAGGCCTGTCATTGGGGCCACCACGGAGGAGTATTGCTTTACAAAGCGCCGGTAAAAGTTGGCAAAGCCAAGGAACACCTGGACCTCTCGATGGGTCCTAGGTATTGGCCAATCGGCGATTGCAGCAACCCGGTCGCTTTCCATAGCCACCCCTTCCGTCGTGACAATATACCCAAGGAAGCTTACCTTCTTGGCATTGAACTCGCACTTTGAGAGTTTCACGTATAGGTTCGCCTCGCGTAGGCGTCCTAGGACCTCTCATACGTGGTCAGCGTGTTCCTCCTCCTTCTGGGAGTAGATGAGGATATCATCAAGGTATACGACACATATGGTGTCAATCAACCCTTGTAGGGTCTCATTCATGTACGCTTGGAACATTGCAGGTGTGTTAGCCAATCCAAAAGGCATCACCCTGTACTCGACGTGTCCATATCGAGTACGGAATGCTGTCTTCCACTCGTCGCCTGGGCGAATACGGATGCGGTGGTAGGCGTTCCTAATATCAAGCTTCGTGAAGCACCTCGACCCTTGGAGCCGATCCAAGGTCTCCGTGATCAGTGGCAGTGGGTGTCGATTCTTCACGGTAAATTCTTCACGGTAATCGTATTCAAGCCTCTGTAGTCTACGCAGAGACGTAGGCTTCCGTCCTTCTTCTGAACAAATAGGATGGGCGCGCCTGCAGGGCTTACGTGTTATGGCTACGGTAACGTGACATCATGGTTACAGGACCAGGGCCTAGTAACGTGACGTGTCACAGGTGTAATGATGGGTGCACCAGATGTGAGAATCTAGCCACCCAAGGAAGGGATGATTTTACTAAGACAACACACTGTCTTAGGAAACAGAGCCAAAGGGTTGTAGCTTAGACTATTCCACAACGCAGCAATCAGGTGTGTGATGTAGTGAAGTGGTTCAGACAAGTTGCAACAAATGTTGAGTCTGGGAACTCAGGGGTAAGTCAGAGGTTAACACCTCACTGACTTTTCAGAAACAAGGAGTAACAAGATGAATGCTTGGAAGCTTGTAAAAGACTTGGAAGTATGTGATAGTCGATTTACTGTATTGCCTGCTTGCCCTTTCTTAAGGAAAGGGCAATCCTATCCTCTTTCTCTGCACAGATGAAGGAGGCCTTTCTAGCCTCCCTCTTCTGCGTCTGAAAGGAGAATTTGCCCTTGACAGCCCAGTCGTCAAGGGCCCAAATAAGGGCATCAAGGTCAAGAAACTCAGCCTTATCCGCTCCTGCACACAAAACTGTACCGTTACCTCATGAAATAAGTCGATAAATAAAATCCGTCAGGTCGTGTGATTATGACTAAAACTGCCTTGTATTTTTCTGAAAGATGATTGGGGGTCCAGCTGCGGGGATCTGCTCACATTATGACTTTCCATGACTAACCAGTCTTGGTAAATGTATTAGAAATCAAGTGCGACCCACAACTAGCTTGCTAATCATGTAGCGAATGTAAGAGAATCCCATAGAACCATCTCTTGGGTTTCTAGCCTATAGGAAGTGAAAAGGAGGTCCAAGGTCAGAGTACCTATAGATAAATTATGTCATAACTTAACCAATCTTGTGGGTAACTAAGGAGCGATGACGTGTAATGAATCATAGAGGGTTGTAGAAGCTTCTAGAGCTATCGTTTATGTTCCTAGGCCCTAGTTGGTAGAGATATGCCATGTGGTAGTATTTGCCCACCCCCTTAAGGAGGAGATTTTCTTAATAACTTGTTCAATGAGTGTCCAAATGATATGCCGTGATGTATGTAGCATAAACAGATGTAGTAGAAGAGTTTGCAGCAATCGTTGAGTAGTATTGCTTCTGTTGTTGGTGTGATAAGCCAAGATATGTATGTTGACTTGTAGGTTTGAGGAGGAGATTTCTAAGTTTGCTCTTGAGTTTGATAGCAAACTGAGTGCAACGAATGTCAGTATGACAACAGGGGGCAAGTGGGGTAGGCTGCCATGTGACGGGGCTAATGGATAGTTGCAGAAACTAGTGGATATTGGATAGTTGAGCTATCCATGAACTATCCTGAATATCTAGCTATCCGCCAACTATCCAGATTACCCATGAGGCATGACGCCACTATATAAGTAGATAGTATTTCCTTAGATAGGAGCTTCGTGCTCAACTCAATATAGTATTCTTTACAATACTGTAACGTGTTACTTGGAAAAGCCTTTGTGTCTAATCCCCTGCCTCCTCTGTCAAGTCAACCTTACGCAAGAAACCTCTGAATCTTCTATCGTTTAGAAGTCAGCGTTACATTACGCTCCTTCGGATCCACTCGCTCTCGTCGAGGTATTTACGGAGCGTGGCCAGCTCCGTTTCCGATAGGTTATATACTGGCCCATACGGTGGTTCCTGGGTCCCAGTATCGATGGCATGGGTTTTCCTTCCCAGCTCTGGCAGTTCTTCTGCCTTTTCCTCCGAGAAGACGTCAATATAGTCCTTGTATTCCTTCGGGCATTGGGTAGTTGCGCTATCGTCTGTGTTTAAGGCCAAGACGAAGGCAGTATCACCTTCCTCCCATTCTTCAATATCCGCCACCTCGGCTCTCGCAATATCGAAGGGCTGGCACCAGGTCTGTTCGCACCAGTCGATCTGGGGGTTGACCTGCATCATCCAATCCATCCCAAGGATGACGTCTACTCCTGGGGTGTCCATGGAAAGGAGGGTCTGGGTGACCACACATTCCCTTTGAAAGTGGTCCCTAGCTCGGACCTGGGTGGTGGCCGCTCCATATATCACAACCTCTTTTCAATCGACTGCCCTTGCCTGTGGCGGTGCCCTATCCCAGCACTCCAAACCCTTCTCTTTGGCAAACAGAGGGTGGATGGTGGACGCGTCAGATCCTGAGTCAAGGAGGGCTCTTGCCTTGTGCCATCCGGGCCCTACCTGCACCTCTACCTCGATCTCCATTCGACGCTGCGCCGTAGGCTTCTGGGGTTCTGCTGGGAGTCACTCCCTCTTGGGGGTGTAAGCGTCCAATTTCCTCACCCCTGGGCCTGTGTGTTGGCGTGGGCCTCGACATTCCTTCGCGAGGTGGCCCGCCTTGCCACAGTTATAACAATTGATTCTGCTAGGGATTGGCCTAGCGTCCCTACAGTGGGTAGGGGCCTGCCCTCTCGCTGGCCGCTGGTCTTGTGGGCGGTGTCTATTCCAGAAGGGTGTTCTTTCTCCTTGGGCCGAGGGCTGGGGAGCCCTGTGGCTGCCAGAGTTGCCCTTTCGGAATGGAAAGCTGCCCTGGGAGGTATTCCTTCCTTCCCTGGAGTTGGGCTTGTCAACGGTAGGAGTTCTCTGTTACCCACTGGTTTGTCATTTCTAACATCGCCAGGATATTAATGATAGCGTCCCTGTGGGTAGAGGAACGCTCTGCGTACCCTCCTTCAAGGAGCTGCTGCCTCATCTCTGGGTGAATCTTCGTCAGAAGGTGGACAGTCTTCTGTGATTCAGTATATGGTTCCATCTCGCGTTCGAGGTCCTCAAGGTAGGCCACGAACTTGCGGATGCTCTGCCCTTTCCATTGTAGGGCGACGTTATACTTCAAGGCCGCAATGTGTTGTCGGTTGGCTGGGTCGACATGGAGGTCCCGAAGAAACTCTTCGAACCCAGCGATATCCAAGGGATCTATGTATCCTTCTCCTTGGGTTGCACACCGGTTATCCCATTTCTTCATAGGGTGTCCTTCCAAGTACAAACAAACAATGAGGAGGGAGTCCCTTACTGGAATGCATGCGTGGTTGCCCCGAAGGCAGTCTGCGCACTTGGCCATGCTGGAAGGGACCCAGCACATCTGGCCTGGGAAGTTGTAATACGTGTGTGCACACTTCATGCAGCACGGGCGGGAGCCAGCGTGAAGGCGTCCTGCAGAATCAGGAACCTCACAGCAGGCAGCGACCTTCCATCCAAGCACGGTGCGCTCATCCTTTGGAGCCTCGGACTCAGGAACGACGGAGCCTTCGAGATCCTCAGCTTCGTCCTCAACTTCAGGCGAATGATACGGACGGATAGTGCGAGAACGTGATGTGGAGGAGGCGACAACAGAAGGAACAGGCGTGGCGGGCGCCTGCGACTCGGGAGAGCTGGACATCTGGGCCGCTGGTCGCTTGCGAGGTGTAGTAACTGGAGCCTTCCCCTTCGGCTTGGGAGCCATGATGAGGGTTGGACGATGTGAGATCTATCCGTAACGATAAGCTCCTGCAATCCAGGTGGAAAGGAAGTGATTACCTTAAAGAAACAAGCAACTGTGTAGGCCCCAAAGGTTGGGACTAAGATCGAGGGTGAAAGGCGAAGTAAGGTGATGTGAGGATGAAGGTGGCAGGAAGTTCGATAGGAAGTTTGGATGGAAGTAGGAGTTTGGCGCGAGACCCATAACAAAGGGGGTGGCCGCGGCAACCAAGGGGGGTCACGGGACCAGCCCACCAAGCGCACACCCAAACAAGTCCACCACCTGGGTCAAAACAAAAAGTCTAAACAAGCCAGGAGGGCAAGTAAGCCCTAGCTGTGAAACCTTGGAATTGAGGGCAATCCCTCTAAGAGGGGAGGTAATTGTAAGGAAGGCCATCACGTGCCACCACGTGAGGTCCCTTTCATAAGCGGCCCATAGGGCTCGGTAAAATAGGGCACAAGGTGCATAGATAAAAGGGGTTGGAGGCCTCGGAAGAAGGCCTCCAGTCAATAGTCGATTTATCTACGTAGACCTATTGTGCTTACAGAATACGATACCTTCCTGCCTCCTGACCTGGTTCCCTGGACTCCCGTGAGACCCTTAGGCTTACGCTTTACACATACAAGCGCTCGAGTGTATCAAGTCCTAGATGCTTCAGAAAATTGGATCTGAGAGTGTGGATCGTAGCATAGAACAGCTAGAGTTGAACATCATGTAATTCTATTGCGATTTTCCCCAAGTTACCACACTTTCAAGGCTCGTAATAAGGCTGAAATACTACACTGACTGCACTGTTTACACTATCAGTGCGACACTGATAGTGCAGTGCGAGTTTCGCACTGCACTGTTGACATGCCTGCGTAGGGACCATACAATCATATGGACTCTGCTTTTCCGCGGTCCCCAAGCTCGCCCGCTTTGTGACCTTAGCGCATTCCTGTGCCTGTGAAGATTGTCGTATCGGAGTCTTATTGCGGCACTGTCATCTCGGTGCTGTTATGTTCCCCCACTAAGGTATATATTAGCACTAGTCAATTAAGGCCATGCCACCTGATGGCAGGGCCTCATGGACAATGCAGAGCACTCACCGTCTAACGCCACCAAGAATCTACTGACGCAATTATATGCAGCCACCTATCGCACATGAAAGTTTAGCGCGGCTCCTCCAACCGGCACTCCTTGTTTCACCTAGGAGAAGAGGGGTTGAACATACCGTTGCCGTGATTTCCACAACCTCCTGCTCCGAAAACAGTTTCTTCAGTTCTCCAAACACCTCCTCGGGGATCTTCACGTTCCTCGTCATCTCATCCGTATAGCGAATGACAGCCCACTGCTTGTCACTAAACCCCTCTCGCTTCGTTGCTGCTGCCACTTCAGGGTTGCCCAAGCCCTTCATCCCCTCCTCGCTGACCCCACCCTTCTTAGCCAATGGTGCATGGCTGAGCCACTCATATGCTGCACCGTTAAGAACAGCAACCCTGCATATGGCAATCTCGCGGATATCATCTGGCAAGCTAGTCTTGGTTCTGATGGCACCGAGGAAGCTGTTCCAGCCATCTGCGACGTTGGGGCTGTGGAACAAGGTGAGGTCCAGTGGCTGGAGCGGGCGAGGGCCCCGACGGGCAGCTATGCGGTCATAGATTGCTGCAGACGCCTCGTCGAGACCTTCCTTGCTGTTTGGGGCATATGGGAGACGCATGGTGGGGTAGGGAAATAGGAATGTTCCTGAGATGATATGCGGTGACGATATTGATTTTGAAATGGGGAAACTTTATATGAGATAGTGTTTCTGAATAAGAAGATTCCAAACAGGACTTCAATTATTTAAATACAAGATGGATTTGGGCGTTGGACTATGAGTAAATGGAGATGCGTTGCCGAGCCTCGGAGGTGGGGTTGCGGGGTGCTTCGTTCTAGCTCCTACTGGCAACGAAAGGCGGCTATATATATAAGCGCCTCTTGCACCACCATAACACTCTTTCTTGAAGCTTATAGTATTAGCTGCCAACATAACGTGCCTTCTGTGTTAAGAGCAATCTGAATAATTCTGAAGTAGAGTCGTCGTCAAATTTAGTCACTGCGATTGCCTCATTGCAACAGTTGCGTTTGCTCCGTCTCCCGACGCGCGATCTAAATGCCCATGGTAACAACGTACGGTGCAATCATTGGCACCAATGCACCAACCTTCCCGCCAAATTTGGACGGACGAGGTCCACGTAGTCTATGAGATCAATGCAAATCACAGGGAACATATGCGCATAAAACAAGTAGACTAAGTACCATACACAACCTGAAAGGCTACTACCAGCTCCTTCTATGTGGAACGTAACGCCAAAAACAGGAAAAAATGCAGCAGTACATACACATGTTGTTAACAACGAGGTCGCTCCGCTCCCCCGTCTCCAGATACCCCCATCGTTCACCCTATATATCCCAAACCAGCCATCTTATTAACCCTGTTCGCGGAGAATGCGTGCATGGCACGGTTTGGCTAATTGGCACTCCGCTAGATCGACTTCACGAAACTGGACTCTTTAACAAGTGGCGTCCAAAGTGGCCTTCGAGTTCATTAGGAGGGCAACAATAAGACCGTAAAGACCTGTGAAACAGTGTTAGACTCGATATCTTGAACAGTCAATCGGGCAACATACCTAAGACTTCGGCGAAAATGAGGATAAGAATCATCCCCACGAAGAGCCTTGGCTGCTGTGCAGTTCCTCTAACACCCGCATCTCCGACAATACCAATCGCAAAACCGGCCGCGAGACCGGACAGACCAACACTAAGACCGGCACCAAGCTGGATGAACCCGGTGAACAGGGGCATTTGCTGAACCAGTCCATCGGAGATCAGGACTGAGACGACCAGACCGTATATACCAATGATACCAGCCATAATGACGGGCACAATGTCTATCCTCGAAATTAGCATCTAGTTGTTGTTTCTTGATGAAGATGTTGGCATACTCTTGACGATCAGATCTGGGCGGAGGACACCCATGGCGGAAATTCCGACACCGGACTTTGCGGTTCCGTACGCTGCGCCAAAGCAGGTGAACACGATGGCAGATGTGCAGCCCATCGCTCCGAAGAACGGCTATATCATAGATTAGTGTCGAAGGCTCTTCAAGTCGGTGATGGAAAGTTGGCGGTTGCCAGCTTGGCAATCTCGTAACAGGGTTGACGAGTATCGAAAAGCGCGTTGGTACTCACAGCGTAGACGGGGCTATAGAGAACACATCGTTAGTAGGTTGACAGATGACAGAGAATCATCAAGGAGATGAATATAGGGTGGTGAAGACAATCGTGGATCGGGGTAGTTGGTCTCCTCCGTAAACAAGCTTTCAATGTACATACCAAAGTTCAGTGGCCATTTCGAGGGTTTATGAGGATATCCTTTGGATCTTTGGTTGCCAAAAAGGTCAATGGAGCTCGAGATAAAAGGAATGCGGGTATGCGATGGTTTCGATTGAGCTATAGCTGGCTATCTCTGTCGTGACGATGTTCCAGGAGGTCGTCGTTTCTCTCTTAAGTTCCACCTGCTTACCTACTCGTGGCTCGGTTGGTTAAACGACGCTAGTATCGATTCGGGACTAGCGCTATCTATTTTTGAGGGTTGGAATTATTTTCACTGCCTCCAACCACAACTACAACCCCAAAGTTTTTTTTTTTCAAAGCACACAGGGCGAGCCAACGCAAGGAACCCTGCAAGCTTACTTCAAATTCATCATCTAACAAACTACCTTCAACCAAACCTCCAACATGTCTGACGAGCAGAACTCTGGTGCCGGTAAGTTTCGCTCCCTCACCAACTTTTTCATCCCGCACAGAATCTAACATCCACCCCCAGCCTGGCCCGTCGCCGACACGGCCCTCACCCAAGAGATCCTCGACATCGTCCAGCAGGCCAGCCACCACCGCCAGCTGAAGAAGGGCGCCAACGAGTCGACCAAGACGCTCAACCGCGGAATCTCCGAGATCATCATCCTCGCCGCCGACACCGCCCCTCTGGCCATCCTCCTCCACCTTCCCCTCCTCTGCGAGGACAAGAACGTGCCATACGTCTACGTCCCCTCCAAGACCGCGCTCGGCCGCGCCTGCGGTGTGTCCCGCGCCGTCATCGCGACCAGCATCACCACCAACGAGGCGTCTGATCTCATGAACCAGATCCGCGCTCTCAAGGACAAGGTCGAGAGATTGATGATCTAGATTATGCCTGTGGACGGGTGCAAACGAAGTCTTTCTGAAATTTCTGTCGCTGGAATGCGACGGGAGTTTGGGCTTTCGTACACGGCGTGGGGGGTTTTTTCTGATTTGATTTATACAATCTGCTAACAATCGATGCGATCATTGGTGGGGTGCAGATAAATGCAAAAGAAATCTCTTGATCACTCAAAAATATGTTCAATTCCCGTTATCACTTGTGAATGAGATTCCTTGTGACACAGGAAGAACTAGTGTGTGAATTTCTACGTGACATGTCGACTAACCATTACTCACAGGCACGGCATTAATCAACAGCTAAGATGAAAGTTGAGTTTCAATTTCTAACGACGTTCATGCAAGCATTAGGTATATACCTCGGTGGCGCCAAGTCCCAGGCCGCTCTCACCAGCCAGAGAAATCACCGAACACAGGTATGTACCACCAGTATCCTTCCACCCGTTGAACACTCCCACCAATCCAGCCAGGCTGTCCTCCCTAGGATCTAACGTGAAAAAGAAAAGCAAAAAAAAAGTTCAAACGCATCAGTGGTATCGGGTACAGTGTGGCGGACCGTTGCCATCGGTCCGAAACGCCTGTCCCAAAAGAAACAAAACCATAAGAAATCACATGTTCGAATACAGCTCCCTCGAGGAGCTCAAATCTCCATCTCCGCAGCGACCTCCTCACTAACCCCGCGTACGGGCGCCTTCAGATCCTGGTCCTCGTCTTCGTCATCTGCTTCGTCATCATAGTCATCAGAGAAGACATCAAGGTCTGATATAAAATCATCATCATCATTGTTCAGATCGAACTCTTCCGACACCGTCCAGTCGTCCTTCCGCTCAATGTCATCGTCGTCCGGATGGCCTGTGGCATTATCGGCCTTGTCGCCAAGCCAGTACCGAGCACGCTTGTTCGCCCCGCTCTCCCTACTCACGCCACTGGCGCTGCGTTTTGGAAACCCGAGTCTGGGGCTGTGAGTCATGATAGGGATGCCGCGGACATAGATGTAGGCAACGCGCTTTCGGGCCTTGTTGAAAAAGAGATAGTGCACGCTCCAGATGGAGCCTTCTTCGCCGTCCCACTCGGATTCCTCTGGCGACCAGCAGTAGACGGAGCACTCCTTGAGAGTCATCTCCTTGTCAATGACGGTCCACATACGAGGTCCCCACGCCTGGCTAGCTGGCGCCGCAGACGCGCCTTTAGGTGGCGGTGGGAGTTCAAGGGAAGCGCTGGGGCTCGGCCTCAAGTTGTACATCGTTGAATCGATGTTGTTCATCACTGCCTTCAGGCTTCGCTCCCGCCTGAAATCCGTGGGTCGCAGGATATGAGAGAAGTCATAGTCAGGGTGACTGGCATTCAGCGTGGCGATCAGATATGCGAAAGTCCGACGACTTGATATCTGGCTCAGGGGCCCGAATGGACTTGACCTACTCAGATCGAGCGATGCCGGCGCGGATGATTGTGGGGGAGAGAACGAGGCTGACAGCCGGAGCAAGGATTCGTATTGCGACTCTAGGGAGTTTTCGATATTGCGATAGAGCTTCTTATCGGAGCCAGCAGCCTTTGTGGTGTACAGATCGCAGCCGCCAACGACATGGCAATCGGGGGTGTTGAAGTTCAACGCGCTGGTGACGTCGTCGAAGTCGCGTAGTGGGAGGAACTGAAGGCCCTGCGTTAGTATTTCGGGCTTGATGTGTCGCGAAGGCGAGAGCTTAGAAGTGAAACCTGCCTTCATGGTTGCTGCATATACTCAGTACGCTTGTGGTATGGCAGTTGACGTCTTTATAATCCGGGGCTCAGAGTCCGCATCAACGCGCGATCGGTGGGCCCACAAGGTCGCGCGATAAGAACAGTGTAAAGCAAGGCTGATCTGAGGCCTGTTGTAGCTGATGACGAGCGGCTGGTTTCAACCTGAGCTGGGTGCACAGGCGGAATCAGAGTGTAATCGGCCAGACGATAAACGTCTAGCAGGCAATGGAAGCTGGCAATTGCTGGAACAACATGTTATAAGGGAGGGCCGTGGAGGAGTTTGTACAGAGTGATTGTCGCGTCCTGCGGGGTTGTATGATATGGATGGCAGATCCAAGGATAGACAAGTAGGCGTCACGACCGGATTCGGGTGGATGCCGTCTATCGGCAAAGGATGATAAGCCACATCACATCACGTGCGATTGCTTGGGGAACTTGGCCGACGAATCAAACTGGCACGTCTTGGAAGGCGTTCGTGTCATTGTTCATAAACTTCAGCGGCTAGTCCGTACATTTTCAATCCATGGCATTGAAAACTATGGATTATGACAAAGAGATAGGGATGGACCGTCGGCCCCTTTTATTACGCAGCGGCATATGCCTATCCTTTTATCCCTCCCTCCACTTCAACCCTCCACTTCAACCTTCCACTTCAAGCTTTCTCACATGAGGCCAGCGCTTTTTAGCTCGTTACTTACCTGTTCCTCTGCCTAAGACACAAGACCATTGTCAGTGGACGCAAATCAATGAATTGTATGTATTTTGGGTAGATACAGTCCCAGGCGCCGATGGTCCTAAACGCCGTTGCCAATGCAAATCTATGTTTTGCTACATGATCTTCGTGATTTCCTCTTCAACCTGGAGTGGGGGAATGGAATCAGCCGAAAGGATCAGGGTGGCTGGTATGGGGAGGAGAGGAGGTGGCATGGTGGTAGCTGAGGGCGATGGGGTTATGAGAAGTATTGTGCTGGACTCACCTCCATTTCTTCCAAGCTATCCTGCTGCCCTATCGTCCTTAAGACGTTCTTCTTACTGCTCTCCTGCATCTCCCCAGCCAATAACAGCTCGTCCAGTATGAAGTATGCCTTTTGGAAGTTGAAGATGATGTCGAGTTCGCAGACGTTCCCGTAGTACTTGTCCATCTGCTCGACGTATCTGTGCACGATCTCGAGGGTGATGAGCTCGTTGTCCGTCGAAGCGCAGCCGGCGATGAAGAAGAGCGAGGCGTATCGGCGGTACACGATTTTCGAGTCTGGAGAAGAGTCAGCCCGCAGTTCAAGGTGCTAGCATATGAGGGGTATGACCTTTATATTCGAGGAAGTTGCACATGCGCGTGCGCCGTGCCAGGACTAGCTGCGAGACATCCTTGATGATCTTGGCCTTCTCTTTCGGCGACAGCGTCGTGAACCATTTGGCAAGACGCTATGACCATCAGTATATAAGTTTGGCGAAACAGAGAGAGGGGGCGCATACGACTTTACCCTGCCTTGAGAGCAGGATGAGGTAACTTCGAGGGACGGTCAGCCATGTCCTGACTGGGGCCAGGGGCGCGTGAGGCAGCTGGGAACTGGGAAACTAAGGGCTCACCTGATGGCCATCAGCGCATCAAATCAGCAGAGCCAGTTCTGTCTCTGATGATATAATCGGCGGGGTCAATGTAGGTTTCGTCGACACTGTAGATGGTATTATTGTTGCGGCTAAAACCTCGAGTTGTCGTAGTGTCGGGGCAGTTTGGTGGCGGCAGTTGGGGGGAGTTGGGGGGAGCGGTCGCACCGTTCAAATTAGGTAAGTTCTCGCTGTAACGCGGGCGCGGCCAAATGTCCCTCTAACGCGCGGAAGTGGGTGAGAAAAGCAAAAGCAAAAGCAAAATTGATCCCCAAGTCCGACAAGTTACGGAGTACAACAAAACAACAACGGGATGCCATTTTATTCGAAATTACTTACTGCCTTACATTGCTAGTCCTTCGGATCGTCTGCTCGATTTAATATCTCACTTCTTACAACTCCATACTCCAGAAACTATTGCTGGCTTATACGAAGGATTCCCCGATTCGCTCGCTGTCTGATAACGAACTCCGCCCCTCATATAGAGTACCGCCGACCCTTTAGGGACGGGAATCGTTGACGACACCAGAATTTGCGGGATAACCAAGAAAATCGCTCTGGTACCTTCACACGCCCTACGCCCTGTCTGGAGTCGCTAGCAAAAGACATAAGCAATTAGCAGAGTTGCGACATCTCCGTCTCCATCCTCATCCTCATAATACTGGTCTTTTGTTGGATTACAAATTCATCATCATGACAAGGCTGATCCTTTCCACCTCGTAAGGCTGTCGATCCAGCGCTGGACCCTGAACTTTTTTTGCGCGACTTTCGTGCTACCTTGTTACCCCAAGCTAACTTAAGACCTTACAGCAATATTATGAATGGAGTCTCCTCCATTATTCGCAGAAATGGAGGGGGAAAGTCGAACCAGGAGCTGGTAAACTCGCTGCGCACTAATTTCGCCGCCGCCCAGCAGGATTACTCCCCCCCACTCTCCGCCTCTCCAACCCCGCCAGTCGACGGCCTGGAGGAGACGAAAGATCCATCGCGACCGGCGACTTCGACCTGGACGACGAGAGACCATAGCGGTTTATACATACCCACAATCGACTGGACGCTGTCCGGGCTAGCCGAGGAGAGGAGCCAGTATGATATCACGGTCAAATTGTTCTTCCTGCCCAAGGCGTCCCTGGAGGAGCGTGAGCAGATTACCAAGGATGCGGTGGACTTGGTCTTGAAGGAATTGGGAGTTGAGACCATCGACTTATTGATTGTTTCGTTCTACGGAATGTCCTTTGACGGCGATTGCGAGTACGCTGCCGACCAGAAGAACTCGGAGCAGGGAAATGATGAGGAGGAGTTGGCAACCTGGCCAACAATGGAGGCGCTTCATGAGCGAGGGGTTGTGAAGAAGCTGGGTCTTGCGGAGTTCGGCAGCGAGAAACTGTCCAGGTTCATGTCGAAGGTCAAGATACGTCCTGTTGTCGACCAGATCAACGTCCGAGACTGCTGCAACGTCCCGCCACCCCTGATCCAATTGGCAAAGCAGGAGAAACTCGAGCTCTTGACCCACAACGACTGCAGCGAGATCCTACCGAGCGGAACACTGCGAGAGTTGCTAGGACAGGGTCCTAATGGCGCAGGTGTCATTTCGGAGGTGAAGCGTTCAGCGGACGGGAGCACGAGCGAGATTACACCAAAGTGGGTTGCGAAGTACACCGCGGTGGTGCGCGACAGAGGCGTGGTCGAGAACAAGGGGTATTTCGCCGCAGCGGAGCTGGCTGAATGAGCATTACATATAAAGAGGGTTTTTGGAGGGAACTTTGCATTGGGATTACTGATACGGTCAACCCACGGCGTTTTTGGTATATGGTATAACGACGCACATATTGAGATTCTTGGAGAGCGCAAGAAGACGGCGGTATCGATGATGGCAAGTGGTATAGACATAGCCTTGCGTTGATTGCGTTTATATGAATAGCCCAGCTTCTGCCATGATGCATGTCTTATGTCCGCTGTATGATTTCTGTATGACTTTTTCTGTTTCTAACCCAGCATGCTCCTCTTCCTACCCCGCATCCTCACGTCCTCCAACTTCTTCAGCGTCACTTTAGCCCCTTTAAAGCTCTCCCCGTACGCCCTCAGTACCTCCCCAAAGAGCGCCTCCGTGCCAGGGTGTGTACTTCCAAACGCTCTTTCCAGGACATATAGGTCAACAGCCCGATCTTCGTCTTGTGTGCTCTGACTCGCCAGCCCAAAATCAATCAACACAATCTCCCCCTCCAAATCATCCTCGACACGCCCACTCGCCTCTCCCTCCGCCGTCGGCCTAAGCATCAAATTACTCGTCGTCAAGTCCCCATGCACCACGCCCACCGAATGCATCGTCCCCACCGCCGTACCCACCATCGTCATCAACCTCAACACCCTCTCCTGCCCCTCCTTATCATCCAGCGCTTTCCCCTCCGTCTTCCTCCTCCTCAACCACCGATTCAGCGCCACGCGCACCACATCCCCCTCCACCCACTCCATCACGATCCACCCCCCCTTTAGCTCGGCATCGAGCGCATACACAGCCGGCACGGGGACGCCGTCGCGGCGGCACTTGGCGAGGACGCGGGCCTCGCTGAGGATGCGGTGTTTGGTGAGGCGGACGTCGAGGATGGGGTGGCGGTAGGGTTTTGCGGGGCGGTGTTTGAGGGCGCACGGGAGGGTGGGGAGGAGGTAGGTGGATTTGTAGAGGAGGGCTTCGGCGCCTTGGGTGATGAGGGTGGGGGGGGTTGAGGAGGGGTGGGTGAGGATTGTAGGGAGGGGGATGATGGGTTCGGAGGCGGTGGAGGGGAGGGGGGCCTCTGGAGTCGCCATGGCGGGAGGGGGTGGTGTTTGTGTCTGTTTGTGGTTGTATTTGTATTCGTGGAGAGCTGGAGGGGTTGTCGAGCTGGAAATTGTTGTTCTGGTGGTGGGATGGATGACAGACGTGGGGTCGGTTGATCCCGCTTTTAAAGCCTCGCAGCCTCGCTATCGATGGATTTATGGATTCGCAGATTTCCAGTACACAACGGCAACATAACGATGCTAATGCTACAGTCTGCAGCGGAAGCTATCCAGGTCTGAACCAATTCAAACGGGTTATGCTTTTAATTGTTGAGGTCAAATATTTCCTCCCAAATTGCATAAATTGCCAATTTTGACACGGTAATGAGATCCCTATTGGCATCGTCTACACCAATCTCCACGTCTACTATGTACAGGCAGGGGTATCACCGTCCTCCAAAACCAATCATCCTCACCTTCACATCGCCACCATTACGAATGAACTTCGTCGGCCTCACAAATCCGCCAATTCAACACTTCAATATTCACTCTCATCTCGTCTATACTCCCCCTCGAATATTCCGCGAGTACTGGCCCCCCGTCCGGCCATGACAATGCCGTTAGAATAGCACCAACATAACAACAAACAACAAACAACAAACAACAAACAACAAACAACAAACAACAAACAACAAACAACAAACAACAAACAACAAACAACAAACAACAAACAACAAACAACAAACAACAAACAACAAACAACAAACAACACCTAACAACCCAACATCAACGGTGGTCTGAACCACATCCATGGCTTCCAGCGACCTCCCCCTTACCGCCCTCACCCTCATCCTCGCGGCCCTCGCCCTCTCCATCCTCGTCATCGCACAAACAACCACCTCCTACACCTCCGCCTACCTCTCCGCCCCCCTCGAGCTCCCCACCTTCCTCGACGCCGCCGACTTCTCCATTCAAGAGAACGAATCATACGACCGCGACATTGCGCGCGTCCCCCGCCTCGAAGACAAGATCCGCCTGAACCGGCTCCTGCACGAGATCCAGAAATGCGGCGACGACCTGCGCGAAGACCTCAACAGGCTGCTCATCGGCGAGTCGGGGACACGGCTGCGCGCCAGCGCGAGGCTGCTGTGGGCGTCCAACCGGCTGCAGCTGGAGCAGCGCGTGAGGCGGCTTGACCTGCTACGGACTCGCTTCCTGGTTCTGTATATGGGGCTGCTTGCGGCGGGGTCAGTGGTGCCTGATAAGCCTGTTGTGGAGAAGTCGCCGGAAAGGAGTGTGCCGAAGATGGCGTTGAGGCCACATCTCCATCATGCGCTTACGGAGGGGATTGTGCGGAAGCCGCCGCTGAGGAGGCTGACGACGCAGGCGATGGGGCATAGTAATACTCAAATTGGAGGGGCGCAGAAGATGGGGTGGGCGAGCGTGGTGAATGAGCTCCAGATGAGCCCGTTGATGCATAAGAGGCATGCGAGTATCGATGCTGCGATGGCGAATCTGCCTTGAGCGGATGGCATGGGGAACTGATCTAATGGCGTTTAAAGGATGATTTTCCGGAGAGGATCCAGGAGCAGAGACTAGGAGTTATATTCACCATACCACCCGATTCGGGGACGCAAGGGACGACGAGTGCCCACAACCACACAAGGACGACGAACTAGACGACAAACCGTGGAAACTAAGAGCTATATGAAGACTTCCGGCATTTCTAGCATTTACAAGGGCGAAGAAGGGGCCGGGACTACGTGTCCTTGTAGTTCGAGAACTGTGTATGACATTACGGTGTAGGAGTTACGTTCATGATAGATGAGCAGATGAGAAGATGAGAAGAACAGCTTGGAGTATTCGGGCGGGGCCATGAGTGGCGATATATATACCCATTTCTAACATTTACGAACGAGCAGGCACGATTCAATTCGATGTAGATAGAAACATTTATACTTAATTCAATCCATTTAACGAAAGAAATATGTTTAACCAAATGATTCGTATCAAATTCATCGTATGAATTGATATCTAGTTCCGATCTAAGTCATCTGTAGCATCGTCGAGATACCATAGCATATGACCACCTCATCCATTCGCCAATTCCACTTTTAAGTTCGTTCCATATCCAAGATCCATACTTACCAATCACACCCCTTCGCCAGCAGCTCCGCCAACTCATACAGTGCCAGCGCATCCTCCTCATCAAACCCACTCAGCACCGCACAATCGACATCCAGCACCGCGACCACCTCACCATCCACCAACAGCGGCACCACAACCTCGCTCTTCGTCGCGCCGTCGCAGGCAATGTGGTTCGGAAACGCCTCAACGTTATTGACGACCTGGATAGTCTTGTGCGTGGCAGCGTAGCCGCACACGCCGCGCGTGAAGGCGATGGTTTGGCAGGCGACTTGGCCGTGGAAGGGGCCGAGGATGAGCTGGGAGGGGGTGGTGCGGTCGAGGGCGTAGAAGCCTGGTGGGGGGTGTTAGTGTAGTTGAGGGTTTGGAGGGGGGGGGGGGTAGGTGGAGGGGGCATACCGGTCCAGTTTACTTCGTTTAGGGGGGCGGGGAGAGATTTGTAGGCGTGCCAGAGGAGGGAGGAGGCGTTTGCGAGGTTGCTGGGGGGAGGGGGTGAGTTGGTTGAGATTGCGGGGTTGGGGGAAAGGGGGGGGGGGGGGGTACTTACCAGACCTGTGGATGTGTTAGGGTTTGGGTTGGGAGGTTGGAGGGGCATGGAGACTTACCCAGTTCCTTTGGCCTTCCATGAGGCCCTTCATCTGCTCTAGAACCTGCTTGTAGGCATCTGCCCTGGAGACGCCTTCTTTGAAGGTCGATGCTTCGGCGTGGGGTGCGGTGTGTTCCCCCTGGTCGAAACTGTCAGCTTCTTGCTCATGCTGCCCAGGGGATGGGTGATTTACATACCATTTTAATGGATGTCAACAAATTTTAAATGCAAGAAGGAGCTATATGTCGTATGTATAACAATGTGCTTCGTGGTCTGTGTCGGTCTGCAATTCTGCAAGGCCAGCTAGCTCCCCCACCTGTTGGTTCCTTGCCTTATCGCTGATGAGGTGCCATCTCTAATACGATAAGTGAGGGAACGCCACAAAACACCATTTGACATGTGCGTGCCCTTAATTTGAATGCGCGGCACAGAATAAAGGCAGCAGGATCCCCTGCTTATTGCTTCTTTTCCAGAGAGACCACCAATTGATTGAAGAGCTGTCGATTTACTAAAGTTCAAGATGTCTGGAGTTCCCTGTCGAGACTGTGTGGGTGGCACATTGTCCGATAAAACGCCAACAGGAACAGAGACTACTATACATGGGCTGCCGACGTACGTCGCTCTCCCAGAGGGAGAGTCGAAAGGATTGATTGTCTATATCCCCGACGCGTTTGGGTGGAAGTTGAACAATAACCGTGTTCTGGCTGATCAATATGCAAAGAAGGGCGGATTCACCGTATATCTCCCCGAGTTCATGGATGGTAAGTAGTATATTTGAGGTCAGCGTGCACAGTACTCTGGCTGACAGCCTAGGCCACGGGGTAAACGAAATGCTTCTTGACCACCTGGGTTTCATCACAGCGCCGGCATCCTGGTATACGACGTTGCTTGAGAAGCCAATCTACATACTGCAGGCCATACAACATATGGTCCCATTCGCGATTCGTTGCCGAGAGTCAGTGACAATGCCAAGGGTCTTAGAATTCGTGAAAGCACTGAGAGCGTCGCCAGAAACTGCGAATCTCAAAATTGGCGCCGCTGGATTCTGCTGGGGCGGGCTGCATGCTGTTAAGCTGGCACATGATACGCCGTCTTCTCGTGTTCATCGATATGGATCCGAAGCTGGGGAAGTCAAACCGCTGATAGATGCTGCCTTCACAGCCCATCCGAGCACGTTGAAAGTTCCAACTGATATCACTGGAGTTACAGTTCCGCTATCCATAGCTGTTGGGGATGTTGACTTCGTAATGAAATTTCCCGATGTCGAGAAAGCGAAGAGCATATTGGAGAAGAAAGGCGACGACCACGAAGTCGTCATATACCCCGGGGCTAAGCATGGATTCGCTGTGAGAGGGGACCCAAGGGATCCTAAGCAGAAGGAACAAGAAGAACAAGCAGAGCAGCAAGCAATCAGGTGGTTCTCTAAATGGCTTTCTTAACTAAGCATTATTTCCCGGATCATATAGACTAGGATTCCTATATATGAATATTGGCATCGTTTCACTTGTAACATTATGCTGGCCTTTCAGAAACTCGAGTATATTCTGTGCCAGGAATCACGATGAGGAATCCGAATCGTGTTTTCAGCCACACCCATGACTAAGCCCTAACCCTCTTTCGTACCAAACCAACACGTGATGCCCCACGCTCCCGTAGATTGCAGTTGAGCCTCAATATCAAAATCCGATGGTGAATTGAAGCTGTAGCCCGTACGCTTCAATGCAATGCCAAATACGCACACGCCGAACGATTGAGCGCTCGTTGATTACGGCCGAAGCTGTTGTAGAAGTAATGGCTCCTATTGGTCACTTATAGAGGTAGCAGGCGTAAAGGTAAGGTGAATTTGATGATGCGGATTTCCTACGTTACTATTGTTGTTTTTACTCCTTCCTATTGTCCCGCTGATGGCCTTTCGTTCACTTGGTGCTACGCGCGAATTCACTCTCTTTGTTCGGTGCTGCCGAATTGCTAGGTTATATATACAACCCAAATTCTGAAACTCCCTTTTCCCTCTTCAACTTCTTCAAAACCGTAAGTCGCCCCTCCTTGGGCGCAAACCCCCCCGTTGTTTCGGTTCTTCCAAAACAACCTTCTTCCCCTTTCCCTCCGAATCTTCTTCCTTTTCCTTCGCTTCTATCGACTCTTTACTGACATTTTGCTCATAGCGTACACCTCTTCCATCCTTCGGCCGCACCGAAGCTACGATGTGGACCTACACGTTCACCAACAAGACGCTGATGACTGGGTGGGACCAGAAGATCCTTGCGAACCAATCGAAGGAGTAAGTCATTATCTCGGTCCTCTCGCAGCAACTACTAACAGCCTCGTTGGGATCGCAAGGCAGCATGGGAAAATCGCTGGGGTAGGGCCTCTGCTCCGACTAGAGATGGCCTTGACCCTGTGGAAGCTCTGCTGTAAGTCTGATTCTCCTCCCTTTTGTTTTGGTACTAAGGAGAGAATAGTCAGAATGCATGGACAAAACGTGCTAACGGTACCATTCAGAAGTCGATCTCAAAGTGCCAAAGCTGTAAGTTTACCCCGTTCGGTGTTGTTACTTTCCTGTGGTGAACCCTTCGCTAACACCAAATACAGGCAGAGTTCTGAACAGCACCATCCCTGGCAATAAGGGCAACAATTACGGTATAATCGAAGCCTTCGGTATTTGTTTCGCTCCTTGTGGTATGAATGATGCCGACCTCATGGGTCGTGGGTGTCCCTGTTGTAAGTTTCGGTAGAATCTCTACGGTTCTTGTTTGTTTCGGTACTAACAAGACATAGGAGCTGCAATTAAATTTTTCTTCGCGCATGATCTTAAGGTTCTTTTTGGTGGTGAACACTGCACCGATGATTCGGTACGTTTCTTCGTTGTGAGCGAAGGTACCCTTTCCTAACTTCGGTGTCACCGCAGGCTCCAAAGACGCTTTCGTTCTGGATGAGACGCAACCTCCTCTTCTTGTGAATTATGCTGCCCGGCTTCACCCCAAAGGTAAGTTTCCCTTCTTCCTTCGGTACAACCGTTTGTTTTGTTTATGTGGGTTCGATACTAACGAAACAATGCAGCATCTCTTCAGCAACACCGTCCGCTACCAGCTTCTCAAGAAGCTCCAAAACAACTTTGTGGAAGCGGAGAAAGCGGGCAAGCCGAAGACCTTAGATACAGCGAACCGCGGTGTGATTGCTTCGGGCCCATTTGCTAGGTTGTTTCAGAAGGATTCGGAGGCAACGAAGGACGCTGAGATGTCTTCGGAGGAATCGGATGGTGACGACAATGCTTCGCGTGCACCGAAGAGAATCAACGGCCCTACAACGAAGGAAGCCCATCAAGCTGCGAAGCAAGCGAGGGATTCGGCGGTTCCTACGGTCAAGCCGAAGCAACCAAAGAAGGCTTCGCCCCCAAGAAGCGCAAGTTTGCACCCAAGACGAAGACCATCACGAAGCCTTCGGACACACCGCGTGAAGATGATGATGCTGGTGCTGGTGCCGTAGGTATTGCCGCTTGATTCCGTCATGGCGACAGAACACCTTCATGTTTCGGCTGAGTGCAATTCTGCGTCAAATCATCGGTAGCAATGAAACCTTTCTCGTGTTTTCAGTGGTGGTTATTTTGCAAATTTCAGTGCAATCGTAAGATTTGTGGTGTTTTCGGTATATATGGAGCACATGGAGAGTAGATTCAGTAGCATCATAGGAAATTGGGCATCTGCATTCAATGGCGCACTATACCATGGAGTTTTCAGTAGTATCGTAGCATTAGCAACTCCTTTTAATATACTACGTGTGAACCTTCATTCTTTCGATGTAAACGTGAAGTATAACCATTCTTATATACAGTGACAGGTTCTCCCACAGGTAACACATGCAGGCCCTCGGTCTGGCCGAGGATTAAGGAAGTCTCTTCGGGAGGACGCTGGCTGGTCATTCCAGTTTAGGAGATACCGAATAATTGATCCAGAATCGTAGTTAGCACTCCACCCACCCCAATCAGCTACCTTCCGAACGTCCCATCGCTTGTCTGAGTATAGATATTGGTACCCACCACGCCGGAACGAGTGTGTACTGTAGTGTGAGTAGTCAAGATCGACGTCAACGAGGTTTTGGTTAAACCATCCGCTAAAAACGCCCGGTGGCTTTATGCGCTCGTTAGCACCAAGGCAATGTACATGATAGCACCGAAGGAAGACGTACTAGCTGCTTATTAACCAAAGATAGCTGGTCGTTTGTGTTAATAACGCGGAAAAGATGGCCTTCTTTAAGTTGAGAGATTTGAAACCATTTTAATAAGGCTCGGATTGGGCAGAGCCACAGTATAAGGACACAGGGCACCCAGCTCACAATAATAGCATATGAGAGTGCGAGTCAGAGGCTAAACGGATGCTATCCTATAGGTCTACTACAAAGGATACAAAAAGATGATGGGGGAACCCCGTGAGTCGATTTGTAATGGTGGGTGCACCAGATGTGAGAATCTAGCCACCCAAGGAAGGGATGAATTTACTAAGACAACACACTGTCTTAGAAAACAGAGCCAAAGGGTCGTAGCTTAGACTATTCCACAACGCAGCAATCAGGTGTGTGATGTAGTGAAGTGGTTCAGACAAGTTGCAACAAATGTTGAGTCTGGGAACTCAGGGGTAAGTCAGAGGTTAACACCTCACTGACTTTTCAGAAACAAGGAGTAACAAGATGAATGCTTGGAAGCTTGGAAAAGACGTGGAAGTATGTGATAGTCGATTTACTGTATTGTCTGCTTGCCCTTTCTTAAGGAAAGGGCAATCCTATTTATGCTAAAGGAGTGTAGTTCTCTCATTTTCCAAGACTTTCCATGACTTACCAGGCTTGGTAACTGTAGTCGACGTAAGAGAATCCCATAGAACCATCTCTTAGGTTCGTAGCCTATAGGAAGTAAAAGGAGGTCCAAGGTCAGAGTACCCCTATAGACAAATTATGTCATAGACAAATTATGTCATAGACAAATTATGTCATAACTTAACCAATCTTGTAGGTAACTAAAGAGCGATGACATGTAATGAATCATAGAGGTTCGTAGGAGCTTTTAGAGCTATCGTTCATGCTCCTAGGCCTCTAGTTGGTAGAGATATGTCATGTGGTAGTATGAGTGATGTCATGTAATGAATCATAGAGGGTTGTAGAGATATGCTATGTGGTAATATCGGCCCAGTAACTAAGGAGCGATGACGTGTAATGAATCATAGAGGGTTGTAGAGATATGCTATGTGGTAATATCGGCCCAGTAACTAAGGAGCGATGACGTGTAATGAATCATAGATGGTTGTAGCAATCGTTGAGTAGTATTGCTCTTGTTGTTGGTGTGATAAGCCAAAATATGTATAGTGACTTGTAGGTTTGAGGAGGAGATTTCCAAGTTTGCTCTCGAGTTTGATAGCAAACTGAGTGCAACGAATGTCAGTATGACAAAAGGCACAAGAGGAAATGTCTAAGCACGCGAATCGACGCCGAAGGAACAACGCTGTGCCCTTCGTGCCTGGGCTCGGAAACAACATCAAAAGCCAACTCAAAAGCAGTGTATCGAATGGTTCCTCCAGCAATATAACCACAAACTTAGCCAGTCGACAGTCTCTGAGTCTCTCAGCCATCACTTTGACAGCCTTGATGAAGCTCCTAATACCAACAGAGCACGATTACGAACTGGAAACTGGCCTGAAGTCGAAAAGCTTCTTCTTACTTGGCAACTTCGAATTGAGTCGAATGGAGGGTTTACAACTGGTGATCTATTTCAACAAAAGGCGCGACAAATCTGGGAACGCCTTCCACATAACGACAGCACAGTCTGCCCAGACTTCAGTGTAGGCTGGCTTCAACGATTTAAAGAACGACATAATATCAAAGTACGAATTCAACATGGAGAAGCAGGCTCAGTTCCAGAGTCTGCAGAAGATGAAATAAAGGCATTACGAACAATTGCAGGGGAATACTTGGAGGAAAATATCTATAATATGGATGAATCAGGACTCTTTTGGAAGATGATGCCATTATAACGCTGACTTTTAAATGATAGAAGACACAGAGGTTTCTTGCGTAAGGTTGACTTGACAGAGGAGGCAGGGGATTAAACACAAAGGCTTTCCAAGTAACACATTACAGTATTGTAAAGAATACTATATTGAGTTGAGCACGAAGCTCCTATCTAAGGAAATACTATCTATTTATATAGTGGTGTCGTGCCAAAGGGATATCCGTGGATAACATGGATAACATAATATCCATGATATCCAATGTTATCCATCATGTAAGATTGCAGCCGTAAGCGCTAGCCATAGCACTAGCACTTAGCCGTAACAGCCGTCTCGAGGACTTGCTACTCAATCTCAGGCTAGATTAAAGAAGGATATGACTCGGATCAGTCTTGTATTTTGTGTCAATGCTTCTGGAACAGATAGACTTCCAGTCTGGATCATTGGAAAGGCAAAACCACTGCGAGCTTTACGAAATGTTAGCGTTTCAACAATGGGTGGTATATGGAGATGGAATAAGAAGGCTTGGATGAATACAACTATTATGGGTGAATGGCTTGAGGCGTTCTATCGACATATTGGCACTCAAGAAGTTCTCTTTACAATGGATAACTTTACAGCACATGCTGCTGCTCTTGAGCTTTACCCCCCTTCTTCAAATATTCATATTTGTTGGTTACCAGCTAACAGTACCAGTCAATATCAGCCTCTTGATCAAGGTATCATTCAATCTTTTAAAGCTTATTATCGACGACAATGGCTTTCATATTTGACAACAATCAAAATCCTATGGATACAATGAATCTACACTTAGCTATTCGATGGATTATACGAAGCTGGAACAACTTGGTTACAAATGTTACGATATCAAGTGCGCCTTGCAGCTCGAGTAGGGGTTCAGGGGTGTGGGGAGCTTTCCGGGGTTGGAGCAAAGTTTTCAGTTGTGGAGTGAATTCTCAGAACTGGTCTCGCTAAAGAGAATTCACTCCACAACAATCTACATTTCAAAAACCAACACTTATTTCAATGTCAATCTCTCTTCCTACAACTATTACCCCTCTTGGAATCGGAGAGCTTTATGACAAGGTAATTAGAGCTGGGAACATACAAGATGTCATGGCAATATCAAACTTTCTAAACCCGGAGGAAGAGAAGGATATACAAGATGGGATGGAGGAATCGGGACCAGAAGAGGTTTTAAATGAGGTCTTAGAGGAGCATCTAGGCCAAGGCAGTACCCAAGATGATGACAAAGAGGAGGAGCAGCTAGAGCAGCCTGTATTTACTATACAGAGTGCTTGTCAAGCTCTACAAGTTCTGATTGGGTTTGCTGCAGGTCAAGATGCTCTCAAGGCAGAGCATTTATGAAGGTTGGAGCGTCTAGAGTCTATTCTTGATGCAGGATACAGTCACGGCTAGATGGGTGGATTATGCAAAATTTAGTATAGCGATATATCCTATAGTACGATATGATTTGTTGGCACTGAATACATCGTCTTAGCGGCATTTGACTGTAGTTCTTTACAGGGGTCGTGCATGGTATATGGTTCTTCCTTAAAACTATCTACTACAGTCAAACCCCTGTTATAACGATCCTGGATACAAGGATATTTTTGATATAGCGATATATTTTTCAGAACCAATTCTATTTCCACACAACTTACGATACTACGATAATCATTACAGTTCCATCCGATTATCGTTATATCCAGTCTGACATATTCTCAGGATCATGAGCCAGAGGCACAGTATTACATTAGAACAAAGGCACGCCCTTCGTCGCTGGGCACATCGACAGCACCCAAAGCCTACACAGAAGCAATGCATCGAATGGTTCCTCCACGAATACAATCACAAACTTAGCCAGTCAACTGTTTCTGAATCCTTAAGTCTACGCTTCTCCCACCTCGACGAGAATAATACACCACAAGGCGTGCGACTTCGAGAAGGCTTCTGGCCTGACTTAGAGAAGGTTCTGTTTGCATGGCAGCAGCGTATTGAAGCAAGAGGGGGATTTACAACTGGAGAGCTTCTGCAAACAAAGGCAAGAGATATCTGGCGCCAGTTTCCACAACACTCTGGCAAGCCAGTCCCAGAGTTCAGCATTGGATGGCTTGAGGGATTTAAGAAGCGCTTTAAGATATCATTAAAAGTTCGACACGGAGAAGCCTTATCTATCCCAGCTTCTACAGAAGAGGAAATGAGAGCCTTACAAACTGTGGCAGGGGAATATCAAGAGGAGGATATCTACAACATGGACGAGAGTGGCCTTTATTGGAGGATGATGCTCTCTCGAGGCCTCTCATCACAACATCAAGTTGGTTTAAAGAAAGACAAGTCTCGGATCTCTCTTGTCTTTTGTGTCAATGCAACTGGCACAGATCGATTTCCAGTCTGGTTCATTGGCAAAGCTAAAACACCACGCGCTTTGCGATTTGTATCAGTTCATACAATGGGAGGGCAATGGCGGTGGAATAAGAAAGCTTGGATAATACAACGATTATGACAGAGTGGCTTCAAGCTTTTTATCAGCATATTGGCACAATGTAATGGTGGGTGCACCAGATGTGAGAATCTAGCCACCCAAGGAAGGGATGATTTTACTAAGACAACACACTGTCTTGGAAAAAGAGCCACAGTGTCGTAGCTTAGACTATTCCACAATGCAGCAATCAAGTGTATGATGTAGTGGAGTGGTTTACACAAGTTGTACAAATGTTGAGTCTGAGAACTCAGGGATAAGTCAGAGGTTAACACCTCACTGACTTTTCAGAAACAAGGAGTAACAAGATGAATGCTTGGAAGCTTGGAAAAGACGTGGAAGTATGTGATAGTCGATTTACTGTATTGTCTGCTTGCCCTTTCTTAAGGAAAGGGCAATCCTATTTATGCTAAAGGAGTGTAGTTCTCTCATTTTCCAAGACTTCCCATGACTAACCAGGCTTGGTAACTGTAGTCAACGTAAGAGAATCCCATAGAACCATCTCCTAGGTTCCTAGCCTATAGGAAGTGAAAGGAGGTCCAAGGTCAGAGTACCCCTATAGACAAATTATGTCATAACTTAACCAATCTTGTGGGTAACTAAGGAGCAATGACGTGTAATGAATCATAGACGGTTGTAGAAGCTTTTGGAGCTATCGTTCATGTTCCTAGGCCTCTAGTTGATAGAGATATGTCATGTGTAGTATTAGCCCAGTAACTAAGGAGTGATGTCATGTAATGAATCATAGAGGGTTGTAGAGATATGCTATGTGGTCATATCGGCCCAGTAACTAAGGAGCAATGACGTGTAATGAATCATAGAGGGTTGCAGCAATCGTTGAGTAGTATTGTTCTTGTTGTTGGTGTGACAAGCCAAAATATGTATAGTGACTTGTAGGTTTGAGGAGGAGATTTCTAAGTTTGCTCTTGAGTTTGATAGCAAACTGAGTGCAACGAATGTCAGTATGACACACAACACGACAAGTTCTTCTTACAATGGACAACTTCTCTGCCCATTATACTGCAATTGAGCTTTGTCCTCCTCCATCAAATATTCGAATATGTTGGCTACTGCTAATAGTACAAGTTGCTACCAGCCTCTTGATCAAGGGATTATTCAGAATTGCAAAGCTTACTACCGGCGACATTGGCTACAATATATCTTACAATCCTTCAACTCAAATGTAGATCCTCTGTCGTCAATGAATCTACACCTTGCAATCCGTTGGATCTTACGAAGCTGGAATAACGAAATTACAAATACTACAATCTACAATTGCTTTCGCAAATCAACACTTGTCTCTTCACCTATTCACTTCCTACTCCAATTATGCCTCATGGAGTTACAGAGCTATATCAAAAGGTTATGGAAGCAGGAAATATACAAGACGTTATGTCAGTTGCAAATTTTCTTAACCCTGTTGACAAAGATGACAATGGAGAGGATGAGCAGAATGTAGGAGAAGATGAGGTTTTACAAGAAGTGCTACAAGAGCATTTAGGTTTACCGACTACTCAAAGTGATGAAGAAGACGATGATCAGCTTCCACAGCCTATGTACTCAATGGCTGATGCTAAACAAGCTCTTCATATATTGATTGGATTTGCTGAAAGCCAATCTCTTTCTTCTGATTATTTACGGACACTTGAGCAGTTGGAATCAGCAGTTGAGGGCATTCAGCAGGCATCATTAGTTCAGGGGACATTAGATACATGGATTACATAATATATTATATTTTGGTTACAGCGATATACTGGTTATAACGATAGTGAAATGGTGGACAGAATACATCGTTATAACAGGGGTTTGGCTGTATGGTCTACGAGCGCTATAGCCAGCTGAGCCTAGGCTGTAACGCGGCGGCTTGGCAATTACCACATGAGGTAATGGTCAAGCCGAAAGTCGGTCAGGCTGCTAAAGCCATCTACTGTACTCCGTACTCCGTACATACTGTAAACCCATAGGGACGTGCTAAGCTTTAGGGCCGCGGGATACACCCGCGTCCCGCTGGACGTAAAACAAATATCATCATCATCATCATGTTCGTTAATAATGTTCACATCCTCCGCTGACAAACACCCCCTCTAAGAGCTGCAAATCCGCTCCCGGCTCACTGTTGTACGGCACGGAACCAAATATATATTTCTCCGTGGAGGCACAACAAAACCCGTGGCTAGGTAGATGATGGCCTCTGAAAATTTGCTTATTTCTTCATTTTAGATGCGAGAGAGATAGTGAGTTGTTTTAATCGCCTCTCGTCTTTCCTTTTGTTGCGCCACGAAGTCAGTCACAGCTGGCTTCTACGCTGGTGCCCTTGGCCCCGTGCGGCAGTGGATCGGTTTCAGACGCCCGCCTTTGAGGTTGATACACAACACTCTGACCCCCGCGGAATCTGATAGAAACTAGAAATCGAGCGTCTCCAAAAGTCCGAGTCTCCTCGGAAACTCAAGACTCCTCAGAAACCTTAGCCTCAAAGCCATGAGTCTCATAAAAACTCTTAGTCTCTCCAAAATCCTTGGCCTCGTCAGAAACCTTGGCTCTCTGGAAATCTCTCGTCAGTTTTGAGGCAACGAGCGACTTGTCGATGCGGCGTCGTTGGGGCTGACTCCTTAATCCATAATCCATATGGGGTTCCGCTGGTCGGCGCGCTCCACCGAGAATTGCTATCTACGGAGTAGTGCCTGATGAAGGGAGGTTGAGATGAGATGCCTATTATCCCCCGTCAGCCTTGGTATCGAAAGAAGCCCTCACCTCACTCTACGTTTACTATGGTAATGGTAATACTCATCGTTTGTTTGCACGCGTGCGGCCAGGTACCATGGGTATTGGACGGATGCATTCAACGAAATGTACCGAGTAGATTAAGGGTCCGGTAATCGCAGAGGTGTGTTGTTGCGTGGAGGTACAGCATGGAGGCGGCAGATAGTGGGATGGTCCTCTATAAATACTTATGGGATACTATAAAATGTGTATAAATGTATGGCGTCATGCACACACCAACAAGTACCCATTTTGTATTTTTAGTGGTCAATACTCCTCACCCAAAGGCAGACCACCCCACCCAACATTTCAAGCTTGCCAGTGAAACTTCTGGTGTCTCTACCCTTCTTTCTCCCCTCCTCATCTCTCTTCTTTCCCAATTTCTTCTTCATTAACTCAATCTCCCTATCAATAAGAAGTTATATCATCATCCATAACTGCAATCATGGGTTACACCGATCAGGACTGGCAGTCCATCAACACCATCCGTACCTTGGCTGTAAGTTCATCCCTCAGAATAACCCCGCCCTCGTCATAAGAAGCAGCGTCATAGGATGCCCGGCGCGCCCTCCCCCCCCCCTTCCCTCACCGCGCCCGATATCGACGACGCCAATCTGACGACGGCGAGGATCGGGATAATTATGTTGATGACAGGCAGCTAATGACTTCTCCGTGCTCAGATCGATGCGACCTTCGCGGCCAACTCCGGTCACCCGGGTGCCCCAATGGGCATGGCCCCAGTGGCCCACGTCCTCTGGAACAGGATCATGAACTACAACCCAAAGAACCCAAAGTGGATCAACCGCGATAGATTCGTGCTTTCGTGAGTATTCCATTCTTCCTGTACTCATCATTTCGCCAATGCTGGAATGCCATTGCGGTTATCGGAGCGCGCATCAGTCGGGCGCCTGCAGTTCCCAGCCATATAGGAAGGGAATTGCAAGATCATAGCATTGGCTCCGATGCAATGATGACCACATTTATCGCCTTCAATTTTGTGGTTTAGATGTCTCTACCTAATTCTGAAGGCGGGGATGCATCAAGAAATCAGCGGTGAAGTTCCGACAGCTAACCCGCCTCATAGTAACGGCCACGGATGCATGCTTCAATACGCTCTTCTCCACCT